GGACACCGAGGAGGACAAGAACACCTTGTGAGCATGAGGGTTTCAGGGAGTTCAGGGAAGAAGTAGGCCCCTAAGCCCCTAACCCCGCACCCAACCCGTTCTTTTCCAAAAGACACAGGCGCCGCTAAATACACAAGACCAAGAATATCCCGGCTTAAGGTTTGGGGATTTAGGGTTTGTTGTCACTACCTCTACAACCATTACTACTACTACTACTACTACTACTATTACTACTACTACTACTACTACCAGTACTACCACTACTACTACTATTACCACTACTACTACGACTACTACTACTACTACAACAAGTACTACGACGACGATGACAACGACGACTACTACTACTACCACCACTACTACTACAACTACTACTACTACTGCGACAACTACTAGGACGACGACTACTTCTACTGCTACTAGTACTACTAGTACTACTACTACTACTACTACTACTACTACTACTACTACTACTACTACTACTACTACTACTCCTGCTACTACTACTACTACTACTACTACTTCTGCTGCTACTACGACTACTACTACTGTAACAACCACTGGGACGACGACGACTACTACTACTACTACTACTACTACTACTACTACTACTACTACTACTACTACAGCTACTACGACTACTACTACTGCGACAACCACTGCGACGACGACTACCACCACAATTATTACCAGTGCTATCACTGCCACTGTAATGGATGAGCTCTGATCTGAACATTATCATGGTGCGCATATGGATGCTGTGCGGCAACGGAGATGCTCCGTATTTTGATCGCCCCGACACGCCTATTTCATCGCCCCGACATCCCAATTTTATCGCCCCGAAATTTCTCTGTGAGCCGAGATTGGCACATTGAAATCTCGGGGCTTGGCGGCCCCAAAGCGCCTTCCAGTAAATCCCAGACAGCTGGAATTTCCGGTTTGCCGCAAGCCCGCCTTAGTCTAGCGGTTAAGCCACCGGCTCAGAAGCCCACATGCGCGGGCTCGAATCCCGCCCCTGTCATTTTTGCTTTTTGCCGCCTCCTCCGGAAAAGGACAAGCAGCTCTAAATCCAGGTCTGGGAAGAGGCGGCAAAGAGCAAAAATGACGGGGGCGGGATTTGAGCCCGCGCACGTGGGCTTCTGAGCCGGTGGCTTAACCGCTAGACTAAGGCGAGCTTGCGGCAAACCGGAAATTCCAGCTGTCTGGGGTTTGCTGGAAGGCGCTTTGGGGCCGCCAAGCCCCGAGATTTCAATGTGCCAATCTCGGCTCACAGAGAAATTCCGGGGCGACAAAATTGGGATGTCGGAGCGATGAAATAGGCGTATCGGGGCGATCAAAATACGGAGCATCTCCGTTGCCGCAGAGCATCCATGTGCGCATCATGATAATGTTCAGATCAGAGCTCATCCATTGCAGTGGCAGTGATAGCAATAGTAATAATTGTCGCGGTAGTCGTCGTCGTAGTGGTTGTCGCAGTAGTAGTAGTCGTCGTAGCAGTAGTAGTAGTAGTAGTAGTAGTAGTAGTAGTAGTAGTAGTAGCAGAGTAGTAGTAGTAGTAGTAGTAGTAGTAGTAGTAGTAGTAGTAGTAGTACTGGTAGTCATCCAGCCAGCATCCGAAACCAGAGACTTCCAGTACTAAGGTTGTACTACGATGAAGCACCATGCTGCCAGCATCCGAAACAAGGCACTTCCAGCACAAAGGTTGTATAGCAATCCAGGGCGGCAAAGCGGAAACTGCAACTCCAGGGTGTGCAAAACTGGTGCCTCAGGGAGCGAGGGTTTCCTCGAGCAGGGGGGTGGATGCTCAATTCCCACCCGGTGGGCCCTGAGGCTTGTGAAGATCACGTGGAGGGCCCTGCAATAACTTGATCCCATCATTCGTCTCCAAGCTGGTGTTGGCACCGGCTTCAAGGAGCATGGGATCAACCTCTGGCGGCCGGGAGCAGCTGGAGGATTTTTTTTTTTTGGCAAATGGCATTTTGCATACTACTACTACTACTACTACTACTACAACTACTACTACTACTACTACTACTACTACTACTACTACTACTACTACTACTACTACTACTACTACTACTACTACTACTACTACTACTACTGTTGCTACTACTACTACTACTACTGCAACTACTACTGCTACTACTACTACTACTGCTGCTACTACTACTACTACTACTTTAGGGGTTTAGGGTTTAGGGGTTTAGGGTTTAGGGTTTAGGGTTTAGGGTTTAGGGTTTAGGGTTTAGGGTTTAGGGTTTAGGGTTTAGGGTTTAGGGTTTAGGGTGTGGCAAGCGAAGTCGCGCGCTCGGGTTTAGGGTTTAGGGTTGAAGCACCCCGGGCCGCGCGCTCGCGTTGCTTGTAAACCCACCCCGGCCACCCAAACTATACTCTATTAGGGTTTAGGGTTTCTACCCCCCAACCCCCCTATCAAGGGGGGCTTTTCCCAACACCCGCGTCCAAAGGCGAGCTGGGGAAAAGCCTCGCCCGTTAATTTTGAAGCAATGCCGCTTTCTTTAAAAATGCAAGTTCGTGAGGAGTATCAAGATACTAGGCACAGGAAGCACGAAGGAGCCGGAGAAGAAGCAGAAAATTTAACGCGCCATGGATGTGTTCGTGGATACTTTTCAACATCTGATTTTGGATTTACGATCCTAAACCCTAAACCTAAACCATAATTCTTAACAGCTTAAACCCTAAATCTTAAACCTTGCATCCTAGAATCTTAAATCCTAAACTCTAAATCCTAGAAACCTAAGCGCTAAATCTTAAACCCTAAACCCTAGCATCTTAAATCCTAAACCCTAAATCCTGAAACCCTAAATCCTAAACCCTAAATCCCAAAACTCCCCTAAAACCCTAAATCTTAAAATCCTAAACCCTAAGCCTTAAACCCTAAATCCTACAATCCTAAACCTTCCCAAAACCCTAAATCCTAAATTCCTAAACCCTAAGCCCTAAACCTAAACCCTAAATCCTAGAATCCAAAACCCTAAATCCCGCAATCCTAAACCCTAAATCCTCGAATCTTAAACCCTAAATCCTAAACCCTAAATCCTAGAATCCTAAATCCTGAAGCCTAAAATCGTGAACCCTAAATCCTAGCCTCCTAAATCAACAATTCCTAAATCCTAAACCCTAGATCCTTGAATCCTAAATCCCAAATCCTAAACCCTACATTAGGGTTTCTTGGCTCATTTTCTACTGCATGATTTCTATTCTTACATGATGTCATATATACCTATATATCGTTCTTGGAGTTGCTAGATAGTGTTTATGTGTTGACGGTTGTAAGCTTACCCGGCAAAAACCACGAACTTTTCAGAGGAATTTCGAGCTATTCACGCATTGGCAAAGGGCAGGGTAAACCTACACCTGGGGTCCCAAGTCCCAGGGCCCTGCGAGTAATCCAACTCGACGGGCAACGGTGAGGGACCTGCATAGACACTTTTTCGCTATCCGGCATTTTTTCTTTAAAACACGAATGTGTCAATATATATATATATATATATATATATATATATATATATATTTAATATTCTTCTGTTCAGCTATTTCCTCCATCTCCTGTCACAATAGACTTCTTCTCAGGATCCCTGTTTCAGCAACGTCGTCCTTCTCCATGCTCTTATTCTATAATTGCACCGGCATGATTGTGTCGACACGAGACTCTGCAATCGCAGCGCCTTGACCGAGCACTCAAACCTCCGGGCAACGAGCTTCCGAAGCCATGCCGGGGGCTTATAGCAAAAATCCCTTTTGAAATAATACCGGCAACCTCTTGCTGAGGTCGTTGCTCCGAACACTGGCTGTGCTGGGCCTTTCCCTCGGTCTCGGCAACGACTTGTGCTACGACGATGAAGACGACGACGGCGACGACGACGACGACCACTGCTGCTGCAGCTGCTGTTGCTGCTGCTGCTGTTACTGCTACCACGCGCTTCTGGTATCACTCTGAACATCAATGGAGGTCTCCTCCTCAGCGGCGACCTCGCGGGTGAGACTCCGGGAGGCCACTTACGGAATAAACAGAAGTAGCGGTCATCACTCGACGCGCCAGACCAGAACCCCGGCGGACGAGGTCGCGGAAGCTGCGGACTCGGTAGCCAGACATTGTGGCAAAATACCGCACCGATCTCAGGCTCCGAGGCAGAAGCCGCAAGCGGAGGCCCGGTTCGCATGTGTCAGAGACCCTCGGCTCGCGCTGCTGGCCAGGGCCGCCCGTGGTGGCCGACCCGACAATAACAGAAGGCAGTCCGGACGGCCGTATAGAGTTCTCGCCGTCTGCACTTGTGGTCAGGGCCGCCAGAAGCGGTCACCCCCAGCACCGAAGCGGCAGCAGGCAGTCCTTAGAACGTGTCACCTGCGATCATGCCCTAGCTCGCATCCCCGACTGTCCTTGCTTCTGCAATCTGGGGTCCATTGTGCTGCATCGATTCGAGGCCAGGAAGCAGCAGGCGAAGGTGTGGCCGGCAAGGCTTTCCCTAATACCGACCCTGGTCTACATACGCCGATGGTCAGGACCGGCAACAGCGGCCGAGGCCGACGCCGAGGCAGCAGCCACTCCAGGCAGCAGTGCAGACACCTCGCAATCTTGACTTCCCTCCGTAGGAGCCGAGCACCCCTGTACGCTTGAATTTGTGCTCAGGGCCGCCAGACGAAGGCCCCGACATGGAGGTGCTTCTGGCTGACGCCGAAGCACGCCGGCAGGGGCTAGCTGCGGCGGCGCGTGCGGACAAGCGCCGACGCGCAGGTCAGCTGGTCAGTACATGTCCTAAAGCCAGCCGCAAAGTTTCGGCTCTGCGCCTCATGAAGTCCTTCCGACGGAGCGGCCGAGAGACAATCGCCAGGAGAGCCGCCAAGAGAGGAGGTCCTGTGGGAAGACGTCCTCGAGACGCTACAAAGCCGGTCAACCCAGGGTCGGAATCTGCAGAAGAAGTGCGCTCTGTCTAGATCGGCTTGCGCAACAGAACAACCTATAGTTGAACGCCATGACCCAGGCTGGTGGACCACCGTCCTCATGCGGGACCTCTTCAAGGAGTCAAGCCTGGAAAAAGTTTCCGTGACGGGTGCCCTCGAGTTCGTGGCCGGGCCCTCGACAGAACACACACGACGGGATGCGTCATGGTTTCCTTCGGTCAGGTGGAGCACCTCCACTGCAGCCGCGGTGCGCTGTCTCGCCACCTGCTGGCCGTGCGGGGCTTTGTGTACCAAGAGTACACGAGGGAATGCAACCGCGAGGCGGAGGCGCGGGACGCCGTTCCCGGAAAGAGCAATCGAAAAGTGAAAGTCGACAGGCGGCGGCCGCCGCCAAGCTCGGCCCCGACGAGCGGCCGGCACAAATCGCGCGGGCAAAGGCCCGGGCTGCGAAGGCTGCGGCCAAGGCCCGCGAGGTAGCTGAAAAAAACTCTCAGTTCTGTGTCCTCACCCCCGCAATGTCGAGGCGAAGGCCAAAGAACTTCAGCGACTGCAGCGCGAAGTCGCCAAGCGGCGCGAGGCCCGCAGGTAGCGAGGCGGCTTTACCCGTAACACTGCCCCCTGTAAGCCCTTGTTAGGACACAAAGCGCTGGAGAGAGACTGCGAACACGAACCGCAACAACAAGCGGGCCGAGCTCAAGAGGAAATCGGATGAGGGAGACGAAGAGGCTCTCCTCGCCGAAAAGCATGCAATTCAATACAGATGCAGGTCTACAGAACCGCCGCCATGGCAGGCCAGAAAGAAACTCCAGGACCTTCGCAACGCCGAGAAAAAACGGCAGAGCGACAAACGCCTCCGAGACCAAGCCAAGGACGTCTTAGGAAGCTGTGCTTTTTGCTTTTGAAAGCACCCTCGTCAGGAGGCGACGCCGGAGCTTGTGGCCTTGGAAGGCACACTACCTGTACGCGGCCAAACCAAGGCGCGGTGATGCCCCAGACACGAACAGCAACTTTGTAGCACCCACGAGGCGGCCGGCAAAGCCAAGGCAAAAGCCGGGGAAGAAACTTCGAAGAAGCAGACAGTGTCGCAGACACAGGGCTCGGTGCTGAGTGACTGTGTGTTGCTGTTTGCTGTCTGTGAGCACCATTGAAGCCTCCGGAGGTCGCAAGCAAAAGAAGAACTCGAGCGGAGTGCTCGCCTCAGACCTCACGAGCTCACGAGAACCTAGAGATCCAGCAATTTTCTTTGGGCTCCGTCCCCTCAGGACGACGCTCTCAGCACGGACGCGGAGGTTGATGCCCATCCCCGCGCAGGTCAGAAGCCATCGACCAAGGCGCGTCACTCTATAGTCAGCCATATTGAAAGGGCACAGCATGTGCTTGGTAATCGATGGTTCAGGATGCGAAGGACAAGGGCCAGGCTGTGCCTCACTGCTTAACAGTATCTTCTCTAATTTATTGCCGGAAGCAGGTGTCGAAAGCTGCCAAGCAGGCAGGACAGTTAGCGTGCCAGGGACCGAAAGCAATGGTCGAACGAAGACAACTGAGACTTCATATTCATACCGCGTCCTGCCAGACTTCGCGGGACACGGACAAGACTAAGAGCGAGGTCGCCACCGACTTGTCAGAACGGAGTGCAGGCAGTTTTGTCTGTGGCAGGAGGAGGACATTCAGAAAGCCATCCAGGCTTCGCTGCTAACTGCAGAGAAATGCCCCCACTTACGTGTGAGTCCGGATGAGTACGACCCGCCTGTGCCTCAGTCGGACTGCAATGTCATGAAGCATCGTCCGCGGAATGCGTTGTCCTGTGAAGGACAGGGATGGCCCGTGGAAGCAAGGACGGCGGCACCGGTAGCGGCGGTGGTAGCAGTAGTGCTGCCTGAGCCAGAAAGAATGCAGCGCATGGCGCGACAAAGAGCTGCTGTGCGAAGGTTACTGGCATAAAAGACGAAACCACACAAACGTATCGACGTCCAGTTTCCAAGGTGAGGAACAGCCCCGTCGCCCGGACGTTTGTGTTCGGGTGAGGCACTCGGGGGTGCCTCTAAGAACGGTGGCCAAGCCTCTTAAGCCCCGAGCGTTTGGAAACTAGTATCCTCCGCGGGCATTTGGAAACTAGTATCCTCCGCGGACATTTCATACTGTTGAGGCCTAGAGAACTAAGTCTTCAACATAGGTCCTAGGCCTAAACCCTAAACCCCTGGTCCTTAAATGTTTTAAATTCTGGTCGTCAGATCCTGCGCCTTGCTCGAAGTGCCCTAGACGTCCAAATTTCCGGAGGCAAGAATCTGCCCAGCTTTGTTGTGTGAGGAGTCCGGCATGTCCGGAGGGTCGAGGTGTCCGGCGGTGTCTGCCAGTGTCCGGGGGGGGTCCGGCCCCCTAAACCCTCAATCCTTCCTAAATCCTAAATCCTAAATCCTAAATCCTAAATCCTAAACCCTAAACCCTAAATCCTAAATCCTAAATCCTAAATCCTAGATCCTAAACCCTAAATCCTAAACCCTAAATCCTAAATCCTAAATCCTAAACCTTAAATCCTAAATCCTAAATCTTAAATCTAGATTTTAGACCTGGTTGTCCTTTTCGGAAAAGGACAAGCGCGACTAAATATTGAAATCTGGAACCTTAAGAGCAGCCACACGAAAAGAAAGGAGGGGACCTCGAGATTCGCAACCGGCCTTCTCTAAAAAGCACATTTTATGAACAGAATTTGTCATTTGAAAATCACCAGCAAAAATCCAAATTTCCGGAGGCTAAATCCTAAATCCTAAACCCTAAATCCTAAATTCTAAATCCTAAACCTTAAATCCTAAATCCTAAATCCTAAATCTAAATTTTAGAGCTGGTTGTCCTTTTCGGAAAAGGACAAGCGCGACTAAATATTGAAATCTGGAACCTTAAGAGCAGCCACACGAAAAGAAAGGAGGGGACCTCGAGATTCGCAACCGGCCTTCTCTAAAAGGCACATTTTATGAACAGAATTTGTCACTTGAAAATCACCAGCAAAAATCCAAATTTCCGGAGGCTAAAGGCCGAAAGCCGAAAGCCGAAAACCGGAAAACCGAAACCGGAAGCCTAAATCCGAAAGCCGAAAGCCGAAAACCCGAAAGCGAAAGCCGAACGCCTGGAAAAGGCTAAAGCCCGAAACCCGAAAGCGAGTAAACCCTAAATCCTAAATCCTAAATCCTAAAACCTAAATCCTAAACCCTAAAACCTAAATCCTAAATCCTAAACCCTAAATCCTACACTAAATATTGACATCCGGAAGCTTAAGAGCAGCCACACGAAAAGAAAGAGAGGACCTCGAGATTCGCAACCGGCCTTGTCTAAAAGGCACATTTTATGAACAGAATTTGTCATTCGAAAAGCACCAGCAAAAATCCAAATTTCCTGAGGTTAAATCCTAGATCCTAAATCCTAAATCCTAAAACCTAAATCCTGAATCCTAAATCGTAAATCCTAAATCCTAAACCCTAAATCCTAAATCCTAAATCCTAAACCCTAAA